CAAGGTGGACTCTTACAGGCCATCTCTTACCAAAGAGGACCAGCTGGACCCTGGTTTCTGAGAAACAAGGACAGGAAGGAAGCTGGGGCCAGAGGAGCCGGGCCCCCTGCCGACTGGGAGAGAACAGCCAGTCAGTGGACGCTTTTCTAGGATGGTCTGTGGGGTTCCCCAGCGCCTTGGGCTGACATTCCTGAAAATCCTCTCACAGTTACTTACTGCTGCGCGGTCCCCTGCCCCAGGCAGAGCTGGTCCCAGGCCAGCTCACACACTCCTACAACAGCAATGAAGTGTCAAGCCTGCTGGAGCCAAGAGAAGCCGGGGGTCTTTCTTATTGCCATAGCGATTGTTTCTCTGGGAATGGATTTTAAAATAACAGACAAGCTGCAGGAGAGAGGAGAGAGAAGGACAGGAGATTCGGAGAGCCCTGGGGCTTTCGGAGACAGTCTCGCCAGCTAGCTGCATAGAGGTCATCCTGTGTAGTGTGTGACTCTCAGAAAAAAGTCCCCTCCCTCCCTCCACTTGCACTGGGCAAGATAGGAGAAGCAGGGTCCTCTACTGCAGCTGCCTCGGGCCCTCTGGAAGTGTCTTCCAGAGCTGGCCTGGTGGGAGCAAAGTTCAGACAAGGTCCTGGCTCCAGGGTCCTTGCAGGTCCTGCACATCTGCGCTGGGGCAGAGGCCACCATGTCATTTCCCAGAAGAGGGAGGTCCGGGCTTTGTCCCTCCATTCATTCCCTTGTTCATTCATAGGTTTGACAAACATCCAGTAAGTACCTAACCTGCGTTGAGTCAGGCGAGATGCGAGACTGTGGGTGTGGAAACCACTTGGAGGACAATTTAAAGCATCTCACACTACACTTCACTGCCTTTTGCAAAGCTGAGACAATTCTGCAGAATTTGGCCATGTTGCAGGCAGCTCCTTGGAGTCCCCAAGCCAGAACTTGGGGCGGAGATTCATTCCTGCCTCTGGGGGTGTTCGAGGGCTCCACTCCCTCTGCCCCCCCACTGCCCTTGCCCTTCTTTGGATCCCTTCAGCTGGCCCCCCTCCTTTTGCTCTTCTTCTTTAGCCAGCCTCCTGCCACCAGCAAAGTTGGCACGGGCCTAGGGCCATGCTCACACTATAAAGCCCAGACTCCTTAAGGTGGCAGAAGAGAGGCTTCACGTCCAGCCTCCAAGGCCCAGCCGGTCCCCCTCCTGCCCACTATCCAGTCATTGGCCCGCCCCCTGCCAAGCACATAGGCCAGGCACCTGCAAATAGCTGTGTGTTTGTCCCAAATGCAACCCCCCGTCCCTGCCCCCCACGTCCTTGCTCATCTCCAAGATCCAGCTCAGGTAGTCACCCTTCTGGGGACCTCTGAATTCAGCCTTCATGGGTAGCCAGCCGTTCCTGATGTATGTGGTTGGAGACACCAGCCTAACGAAACTCACCCCAGAAAAGGGCACTGTGGTGCCATGGTTTGAATGAGTCCCCTAGAGCGCATGCATTGGACACCGAATCCCCAGTGCTGCAGTGTTGGGAAGTAGAATCCCAGAGAGGTATGAGGCCACCCTCCCCTCTCTATCTGATCCACTAGGTGATATATTAATGCCACTGTCTTAGGAGTGGGTTTCTATGGACCACTTGATCGTGGACTTCCAACCTCCCAAACTGTGAGAAATACATCTCCATTCTTTATATATTACCTAGTCTAGCTGGGCACAGTGGCTCAGGAGACTGAAACAGGAGGATGGCAAGTTCAAGGCCAGCCTCAGCAACTTATCGAGGCCCTAAGCAACTTAGTAAGACCCTGTCTCAAAATTTTAAAAAAAAATTAAAAAGGGCTGGGGGTGTGGCTCAGTAACAGAGCACTCCTGGTTTCAAACCTCAGACCTGAAAAAAATAAAAGCTATAAATGAACTCATCTCAAGTACTCAGACTGAAACACATGGCTCCATATATTTGTGCCACAGTACCCCATCTCTGCAGCCTTTGCAAGTTACACCAGCACACTAGATGCCACCAGCCTGAACAGAATGTGCACTGTGGATTTAACAACTGTAAACTCATTTAAGCCCCAGAACAATCTCATGAAATAGGCACCATGGATCACCCCCAACTCCCACATCCAAAGTCTCCCATGTGACCATTGCTGATAGGCACCCCGCCTGCTCGCTCTGATCCGTTCCACATCCCAGAGAATCCCACACTTGTTTATGGGTGTGACTTTCTCAGCCAGCCTCTGAGCTCAACAAGGGCAGAGACTGGGTCTGAATCATCTCACAGCCCCCAGCACCCAGCACCTAGTCTGTGCCCAAAAGTCACTTCTTGAACACAAAGCACGTGGGGACCAAGAGGCAAGGCCCAAACCTGCAGACACGAGACACAGTGGGGACCACAAGGCCCTGTTGGATGGGATTATTCACTTCCTTGGGGTTTGCTGCGAGCTCCCTACTGGCCAGAGGTCCTTGGCCCTCATGTTGGAGTCCCAGGTGGCTAAATGCCCAACCTGAGTAAGTTCGCATTCCCAAGAAGTGGGGAGTGGAGGTGAGGGGGTCTCAGACCAGGCTCCTGTGGCATTCAAGTCTCAAGGTGACCTGGTCAGGGCCCTCGGGGGAGTGAAGCAGTAGGAGACTGATTCCATCTCCAGGGAAGAAACTTAGGAAAGCGAGAGCTCAGTCACCAAGTCACATGCAATCAAGGTGCCCAGAGTGAGAATCCCTATTTGGCTCCAGGAGCCACGGTTTTCATTGGCAGGCCCAGGCTCAGACCCACGAGGGGGCTGTGGAATCCATTTTCTGAGTCCTGGTAAGCATACTTTTATGAACTAGATGGAATACAATAAAAAAAGAGAGTATCACATATGGACACAGTATCATTTTGCAAAACTCATTTCAGATGTGTGTGTGTGTGTGTGTAAAATCACCATATAAAAGGTTTTTCTTATTATGGGTCATGATGAAAGAAATCCTGGCTACAGGACAAACCACCAGGGACGCCATTAAAATGCAGATTTCCAGGCAGAGTGGCGGTGGGCTCTGGACATGAAAGTTTTTTATCTCCTCAGTTCATTCTGGTGAGCCGAGCCCTGGTATGCACCTCAGGTATGAGAGCAAGACCTAGCCAAATGGTGAGACCCAGTGCAAAATGAAATTTCTGAGCTCTTCATTCTAAAAGTAAGGAAAAAAATGTCATCCTAAGTACTGAAATAGCTCTTTTCTCTTCCATCTGTGGTTTCTGTCTCTTGACTTGCCATTTATTTGCTATTTAAGGCTGTGTTCCCTCTGGCACCAGGACATGCTTGGGGCAAGTGCAGACCCTCCCAGCGTCCCTCCCAGAAATTCCAGAATATGCACTCCTGGGAACGCACATCGCACCAGCCAAGGGACCTAGGCACATGATCCCAGCCATCTCTCCTTTCTAAGATCCACCTTCTTGCAATGGACAGACAACCCCAAGGCTAATGCATCTGCTCAAGAAGATGGGCTAGAGGTTTCTAGGTCTGGCTCCTTGGGTGCAGGGTCCTTGCCCAGATGCCCCCAAGCCCATTTCCAGGACTGCTTGTCCCAGGCCATGCTTCAAGGACAAACCGGCAGTCAAAGTGCCCACTCCTTGGCCAAAGGGTGACAGATTGTGATGGGTGTGGACTGAGCTGGGGGTGCAGATGGAGGGCTTCATGGGTCTGTGGGTAAAGCCCCTCACGGTGTGGGAAGAAACCGAGATAGAGGGTGGACTAGGCTGGCTCCCCACCTGCTTGCCTTTTTCAAGGGCAGAAGCCCAGGGCATTGAAACAATCCCTTCCAAGTCTCAGTGGAGACTTCCCAGTCCATCAAATGTCAGAACGCGGTCCCCAGGTATTACCCCCTCCATGGAAGTCATCTCTAGCTCCTCTCGGGTAGTTCCAGGCTGCAGGGGACTCCAACCCCCTTCCCACACGTTCTATTTTAATTGCAAAAGTAAGACATGAATGTTCCTTGTAAAACATGCAGGCAGAAGGGAAATGGGGTACGTTTGCCTCTCAATATCTGCTGGGGATTGACTCCAAAACTTTCACCACCACCACCACCACCACCACCACCCAGGATACCAAACTCCAAAGCTACTCCACTCCCTTATATGTTCTATGGAAAGACAGTCTGCTATATAATTTAAATCATCTCAAGATGACTTAACAATACCTACTACAATGTAAATGATATGTAGCGAGTCATTGCCTTGTGTGGTTTAGAGAATAATAACAAGAAAAAAGTCTGTACATGTTCCAAACAGATGCAAATTTTTAAAAAAAAAATTCCTAATCTGAGTTTGGTTGAATCTTCCGATGCAAATTTGCAGATAAGAGGGCCAGCTCTGGTCCTTGGGTCCAGACCCCAGGTCCCTCCATATAGTTAACTTCTGGAAACAGTTTTCTAAAAACTCTTTCTGTGCACTAATATACTTAGATGGATATATATTTTGTTTTGTTGTGTGTTTTCTATAAATGAGATCATGCAATATTATTCTGCAACTTGAAAAGTTTACCTATTGCACTGCTCCCTATGCGAGTGGACAGAGACCACACTCTCGTGGGTGTTCCAATAATTCTTCTAATAGAAGCCTCTAGAAGTATTTTCAAACAAAATGAGGGAAACAGAATTGCGTGAAAACTTATGCAGAAGTACCTTTAGCCTTTCCCGGGTCCTCCAGATGTGAAGTGGTGCCCAGTAGGGCATTGTAGGAATTCGTCGTGGGAGATCTCGGGTTTGGTAAATATCAAGGGGCAAAAAGAACGGGGACCTCCTGTCTATCATCAGCAGAGTAGGGCGGAAGGCCGCTTCGGATTCGGAGAAGGAAGATATGGGATCAGCCCCAAGTTGCCATTGAACTTGGGAACCCTCTCTGGGCCTAGTTCTCTGTTGAAGGAAAGTTAATACTTTAATAACTTAATTAAGTTAACGGATTAAAGTTAATTGGTTCACGGATAGGGAGCGGGAAGGCACGGGTCCAGGCCGTGTGTCCCCGCGCGGTAGCACAGGATGCGGGTTGCAGTTACTAAATGGGGGACAGCTAAGTTCCAGCGGAATCGACTGGAGCGCCACCCGTTTCCTTTGCGAATTCAAAAGCGGGAACCCACTCAACCTAACAGTCCGGAGGTGGCCAAGGCGCCACCTGCCGGCGGAGGAAGAGGAGGCCGGCGAGTACCGGCCTCTTGGGCTGGGTGACCCCGCTCCTTCCCGGACCCCTGAGGCGGAGACTTCGGATCCGAGGAGGCTCCACATCCCTGGGTGGCCGGAAGGTCGCAGCCTGGGCTCTGTCCCAAAGACTGGACGGAGTGGCCCCGCTGGTGTTGCGGAGAGGTCGACAGGAAAGGCAGGGGACCCAGACGCACGGCCTCGGCAACCCAAGGAACTGCTCCCCAACACAAAGCCGCGGCAGCGCAGGTGAGCGCGGCGGGGCCACGTGAGCCGGGGAGCAGAGCCCCGAGCCCCGCGCCTCGCGCCCTGGCGAGCCACAGGCGCCCCCTCCGCGCGTCCCCGCCGCAGGTTTGGACGACCTCCACTCGGAGACCCGAGCCGAGGGGCGAAGGGTGGGAAAACCAGGCAGCGAGGGAGAGTGGGCGCGGCCCGAGACCACCGAAGTCCCCGGCGCCCCAGGATGCGGCCACCCCGCCCCGCGGCCCCGCCGTCCCTCGTTCCAGGCGATCCCGGTCCCCAACCCCTGCACCCCAGCACCGGATCACCCAGCCATCCCTCGCTGCGGTCGCCCGGCGCCCCCAGGCCCCACTGCCCCGCGCTACTCACCGGCGGCTCGCGTAGCCGCTTCCAGGAGAGCCGGCGCCCGGCTCGGGGTAGCCGTGCTGCTGCTGCAGGGCTGCGGCCGGGAACGGGTAGAGGAAGCCGGTGGCCAGCGCCGAGCCGCACAGGCAGCAGCACGCCCACGGCAGGAGCAGAGCCAGCTTCATCTTGAGCGATCGCCCGCGGGGACCCGCAGTCCCCGGCGCGGGGACTACCAGGGGCGCACTGGCGGCCGGACCGAACCCGCGGCCCGGGCGGGAAGCTGAGGGAACCGGCCACAAGCGAGCCTGGGTCCGAGCTGGATGTGTCTGGGCGGGGGGCGCCCACGCCTCTCCAGGGCCGGCTTTTCAAATTCGGCGAGGTGGGCTCTGCGCCGTCAAAGGGGGCGTGGGGCTTTCTCTTTAACCCTCGGCAGCCCGGGGCCGAGGAGGCGACAGTGGCCTCAGAGCTGGGATGCAAAACTCTGCTGGGGGTCCCGCGAGCCGAGTACCCCAAACACCAGACCTCGCTCGCAAGGGCTGGCGGGGCAGGGGAGGGGGACGCAATACACGTTTCAGAATCTTCCCGCACTTCGGTTTTGCAAATGCGCTTTGAGCACCCATTCTGTACCTTAGCGATGTCACCCCACAGTATAGTTAAGCCCCACCACACTCTTCTAGGTAGGAAGTGATACCACGCCCACTTTTCAGAGGTGGAAACTGAGGCTCAAAAATGTTCAACTAGAAAAATACATGTCTTCTGACTCCTTAGGCAAAGTTCTGGTTACACCAAGGCCAGTCTGCTAGCAGAGCAGCCGACAGGGACTTCCCTGGAAACTTATAGCCCTTTCACCACCAAGCCCTACCTCACAGCTCACTCATCAAGGTGAAAACCGGTGGTTCCTGAGAAGATGTTCTACAATCCCACCTTTTACAGATAGAAAAGCTAAATTCCAGAATCCCCACTGTGCCCAAAGCCAGCCTGGCCCAAATTGGTCTTTCCTGGGCTTGGGATTCCCACAGTGCTTGATACTCCCTAAGGCCCCCACAGTGGAGACAGATTATACTGGAGATCCAGCCTGTTTCCCCTCTCCAGATTAACTGTGTTCCCCTCTCCAGATTAACTGCCCCCAAAGCATCCCAAGGGCTGGCTCCAAATCATCCCCGAGCCCCTCCCCCTCCCCTGCTAAGAGTAGGAAGCTGCTAATCTGCAGAACACCTATAGGACCGGAGAGAATTCATCCAATAGGGAGGTGCCTGCTGGATCACTGCACATTTTGTAAAAGGATTGCTGGATTATTGCTAGAAGATAGGAAGATGCTGTTGAGAGTGTGATGGGACAGGCCAGCTCTCAGGAGTTGCCATCTTGTCACATGCCCTGATATGTCCCCATAGGTACATATACCATGTATACCCTCTGGTGCGCATATCCAGAGATATCATATCTCCTCCACCACCCTTTTCACTCAATTCCCTTAAATCCCAACCCTTCCCAAGTCCTTGGTCTCTGTCTTGGAGGCAGGGCTGGTCCTGTGAGCGTGTACATCCCACTAACGGGAGCTATAACTTGGACCAAGTACCACTTCCTTCCACTCATCCTCCATCCCTCCCTCAAGGTCTAAAAGATTTGGAGAATTTGGGTTATCAGGGGGTTTTCAGTGCCTCCCCCAAAAGGAATCTGAACTGTGCTCCTTGGGAAGCTGGCCAACACCTAACCAATGAGGTCATTCCCACCAGGCTTTGCAAATACTCTGCCTTCCACCTTCCCTCTTGGACTTGCATAATGAAGTCAGAAAGACCAGAGAGATTCCGCGTTGCTGGAAGCTGCCTTGAATGTATGCTATATGCATTACAGCAAGGAAACGAGAATTTGTTTTTATCTTAAACTCATTTTTTCCCGGTGCCATGGGCTACACCCAAGACGGAGGAACCGAGAAGTTTGGGCTAACTCTACTCCGTAAAGCAAAGGATTGTGTTAGGATGAAAGTCTTTGTGGGGGGAGAATGAATGCATTCTAGAAACTTCTGTCCTCTTCTTCCTATCTGGGACCCCTAATTTAATTCGGGCCCACAGATGTTTACCGGGCAGCTTCTGTGTATCTGGCACCATGCTGGGGGCATCACAGAAATAGCCCAGCCATCACCCTCAAGGTGATTGTACTTTAGGAAGACATTAAAATGGGCCTTTTTCCTTAAAAATAAAAAAACAGCTGACAATCTGAACAGATGTTGTGCAAATGAGGGGAGGTTCCATTTAGACGATGCAGGATAAATAGAGAAAGATGCATGAAATCAATAAAAGAAATGTGAAGTTACCCACACCCCCCCCAAACACAGAGCCCCAGATCTGCTCCGGATCCCCTGCTGACTGGCTGTGTAATCTGGAATGCTCACTGACCCTCTCTGGTCCTTCCCAGCTTCTTTATTTGTAAAGCAAAAAGGGTAAGCTGGCTTGTCTCAGGACTTTCCAGCCAATCTTCCATAATTTCTCTTTCCTCCACTCTGATCTTTAAGGCAGCTGTAGACACACGCAACTGTGGATGGGTCACTCCTGTAGGCAAACTTGATAGCTACAACACCACCCAGTAGGGTTAGGGAAGCCAACAAGAATGGAGAAGGGTTCAGTGGCATCCCATTTGCCCCTTCCCCAGACAGCACCAACCGGTAGAGTCCAACCCCACCAGCATCAGCTGTGTGACTTTGGACAAATTGCCCAACCTCTCTGAGTATCCTCATCTATAAAATCAGAAGAAGGATAACAGTCCTTGATTTATAGATGTGCTAAAAACATCAGATGAATTATTCACATAAAATGCTTGGCACATTGTAATACTCAATAAATATTTATGATTATTATGATTTCTAGGGCTTTGGTGAGATATGAAATTGGGGGATACCACACATCTCAAAACCCCCACAGTGGGGCCAGCCAATGTGTTCATACCCAGGAGTATTTGGAGCTTTCTCAGAGGACAAAACTTGGCATATCTTATCCCAGGGTCAACAATTTAAATTGAAACTATTTTAAAACAAATACAGAAATAGCATTGAGTAGAACATAGATTTGCATTCTTTTTAGAGATAAAGTATGCATGTGGTGGGCGGCAAAAAGTGGGAAAGTTTGAATAGCCCTTAAATAAAGGGCTCCGTGGGGAAGCCCTGGGAAGGACGAATCCATTTTCTGCCTGAGAAGGTCGGTTGCGGCTGTACCTATAGCTGCCGCCTCCGCCCCGCCGCGCTCTGAGGCGCCTGGATTCCGACTGTGCGCATGCACTTGGGTCCGTGTATTTCTAAATTGTCCTTGGTACTCCTAAAATGCACGCTCCCCCTTCTTCAGAGGCAGAAGCCACTGTCTCCAAAAATCCCAGGAATCTAGCATCAAAGAATGAGAGTCATGTCCCAGCTAGAAGCAAGGGTCTTTCTTATTTCCTTGGTGACCTTCAGCAATCGCATAATCCCCAGACCTGGCCAGGATAGGAGCTGGTTTTGCTGCAGACAAAGTGCTTTCTCTGCCCTCAGCTCTGACACGGGCAGCGCTCTCACATAGACAGGGCAGCGATTCTCAACATCCCCATTTCACAGATGGGAGAAGAGAGTTACCAGCAGCCGTGGGCTCCCTGTTGTGGAAGTGGGGGAAGCGAGCACCCCACAGATGGCCAGTTGCGCTGTGGGATTGGGGTTTCCATGGAAGAGAGCAGGCTGCAGCAGAGAAGCCTGCTCTTCTGCTTCTAGGTCTTTGTGATAAGAGAATCTCACCAGCACCCTCTGCAGCTGACAGAACACACATCTTTGCTTCTGCTGAAGTCAGCAGAGAGAGCCACTGAGCAGAGAAGTAAAGACCCAACTGAGCTGAGGCCAAGGTAAATATTGACCTCTTGGCATGATAAATCCTCCTGTTAATCTAAAACAGCACTCTCCCCCACTGCCATCTGCCCTGGATTGCCCTTCAGGACATGGATTCTGCAATTTTCCCAGAAGTTCAGGAAGGCAGTAGTAGGAGCCGGGTGGTTTCAATACAGAGTCCTCCAGCAGCCGGGGGCCCCTAGCTGCTCCATGCCCCCAGCTGCTCTGTGCCCCCAGAAAAGCCTGGGGATATGCTCTACTGAACTCCAGGGAGCCAAAGAGTCACACCAAAAGGACTTCAAGACTTTGCTCCTAGCATTCCATAGTTGGCCAGGGAAAAACGCCGGCAGAACATAGATCTTATGGAAAATTATCGGAATTTCCTTCTTCACCTAGGCACCCCGAAATTCCACCAGGCCCCTGTGAAATAAATGCTTCTTCCCAGTTTCTGCAAGCATTGGCAAAGATCTAGAAGATCAGAAGGCAAATGAGACGGCTACCACATAGTCCATGATCTTGGACAGTTTCTATTTTGGTACCGCGGATTGAATTCAGGGGCACTTAACCACTGAGCCCCATCCCCAGCCCTTTTTGGTATTTTATTAGAAACAGGGTCTCACTGAGTTGCTTAGGGCCTTGCTAAGTTGCTGAGGCTGGCTTTGAACTCACGATCCTCCTGCCTCAGCCTCCCAGCCTCAGGACAAGTGTGTGTGTCGCCGTACCCACCTTAAACAGAAATTCAGAGGGGAGAAAAAGAAGTGTTGAAAGTACAACTGAAAAAATGATTTAAAAAAAAAAAAAAGCAATGGGAACTTGTAAAAACTGGAGCCCATATTGGAAAGCCCAGCTCGAATGTGGCGATAGCCTCACGGAAGTGGCCAGAGGTAAGCAGATGCTTCCTGGGAGCTTAACAAGATCACTTCGTGGAAAATGAAGAGAGGATGGAAGATATAAAACAGGGAGAGGAAATGCTCAGGGAGCATTGCCCTGTCGGCTAGAGGCTGTGCCCTGGCCCAGGAATAAAGCCAGGAGAGTGTAGGGGCCGCCCTGGGCAGGAGCTGTGTACACACCTTTAAGTCCTGAGTCAAGAAGGACTGGACGGTATTGCACCCACTGCAAGACAGGTGGACTTTACCTCCACTTGGATAAGAAAGGGGCCGCTCAGGGAGTGGATGTCACCCGATGGGGTAGAATCACACCCACCTATTTACTGTAATCCTGTCCTTTTGCCCTTTTTTGATAGAATGCTCCATGGATCAGCTCCTCCATTAGTAAAACCCGGGTCTGACGTGTTCCCTCTCTTTCCAGCCTGCCTTGCCCCCCTTATGGGAGCTGTGGTTAAGAAGTGGTCACTGAACCCCAAGAAAAGGCATTTTCTGAGTCTGTGTCTTTATGTAGTCAGCCCAAATTCACTTGGAGTGACCCCGATTGATTTAGTCGCGTGTCCCCATAGGAGGGGATTTAGGCACAGTGAGTCCATATCACCATGTCCCCCCAAAGGGTCCCCAGCCTAGAGTCTGTGGGAGGGCATCTTCTATCCACCACACCCCACACCTCGTCCAGCGCCCAATCCTGCGTTATCCCCCAGGGTCTCCCACTGAGAAAGGATGGCAAACAAGCTATAAGCTTAGAGGACAGCCCCAGGTTAAGCCGATCCAGAGGCCAGGTATATGGGGGTACTGGGAAAAAGGACCAAGGAGGAGCCAGCTAACTCTCTAAAACAGCAGGAAAAGATTATTAAACTTGTTCTTGAAGCTCCACGCACGGATGGATTGGGAACTAAAAGATGGAAAATGTCAGATAAAAATAAAGAAATACTCTGTAATAGGGTTGTCAACAGTTGGATTTCACAGCAGAGGAGAGGGTGAATTTCCCATCAACAGAAGTAACCAAGTAGAGAGTGGGGTAACACACGGCAAGGATATTAAAATTCAGGGGAAGGCACCAACTCTGGTCTCAAAGCCATGATTTTAGACCCTGGAGAATTTTCCCCCAAACACCACTGATACGTGTGATAGATGTAACTAGTGTCCACCAAGGTCTGGCTCTGCTGAGCTCTCTGGGCACAAAGAAGACCACCCTCACCAGCCTCTCTTGCAGCTAGACAGGGCCATGAAGCCAGTTCTGACCAACGGGTAATGAGTGGAAGGGACCTGTGTCACTTTGGGACCTAAGAGTGAGCCACACAGAGAAAGTGGTCCCAGAGCTGACCCTGGGTCTTGTGTGAGTGTGTGCAGAAGACCCTCCTCCACCCAGCCTGCCCCCTCCATCCCTTTAATGGCATTGAACTTGCTGCTTGAGTTCTGTTCAGCCGCTGAGATGTCAGGGTGAGGTTGTTGAAGCATGAGGCTGGGGTGAGGAATCTTTCCTGATTCACTAAGTACATATATGGTGCTTTGAATGTCCCTTTTTTTCTTTTATTTATTTATTTATTGGTGGTGGGGATTGAATCCGAGGGTGCTTTACCACTGAGCTACACCCCCAGCCCTTTATATTTTTTTTATTTTGAGATGGGGCCTAAGTAATTTAGCACCTCCCTAAGTTGCTGAGGCTGACCTCCTGCCTCAGCCTCCTGAAGGCCCTTTCTCAATGTCTGCTGTGGTTTGAATGTGTGCCCCAAATGTTCATGTGTTAAAAAGTTAATCCTCACACTTATGTCAATTATACGTTGTCTGATGCCATCTGTCATGTGATAATGCAGCAAGAAGGACCTCACTAGGTCCTGTCACCATGAGCTGGAACTTCCCAACCATGAACCAAACAAACCATTATTCTTTATAAATTACCCTGTCTTGGATATTTTGTTATAGCATCAGAAAATGGACAAAGACGATGCCTGTGCATGTCTGCTGGTCACGGTCCTGGTCACATTCCTGTCTACTGAATGAATGAAGGGGTGGCTTCATTCTCACGGAGCAGTCCTTCCTTACCCCATGGAGAACTCAACTGCACAGGGGAGGCCTGACAGCCTCCAGCCAGGTTAGACACTGTTTCTACTTCAGGATCCTTAGGGAGAATGCAAATAAAGAGACACTGTCCCTGATGCTATGTGACTCAAAGACAGCAATTCAGGGGAGCAAATGGAGGCTGAGGGTCTGGGGGGTAGACCATCCATGTGGGATCCAAAAGGCCATGGAGGAGGAGGAAGGTTTTAGACCAGGCTGAGGGGAGGGAGGCAGGAAGAAGCCCCAGGGTGGGGCTGTAGGCTGTGCTGGGGTTGGGGTGAGGAGCAGAGGGGCTGGGCCCTAACATGGCCCCTGGGCACACTCCAGCGCCCACACCTGTGTGCAGGCCCAGGCCTGTGCTGGACAGAGGCCACCTCCCTGGTACCCACCTTCCACCTCCAGGATCCCACCCTCAGCCCCAGCACCCACCCCCCCAGGGCCCATGAGAAAACCCACTAGGAGGGGCTGGGGATGTGGCTCAAGTGGTAGCGCGCTGTCTGGCATGCGTGCGGCTCGGGTTCGATCCTCAGCACCACATACAAACAAAGATGTTGTGTCCGCCAAAAACTAAGAAATAAATATTTAAAAAAAAAAAAACCATTAGGAGAAGTCATTTGCGGGGCTTCGGGGACAACGAGGCTCAGACTAGTGGTGGCAATAGGGAGCCCAGGTCTTCTCAAGAGGAGGCCAAATTTGGAAGACTGAGAGGGGGTGGGGATCTGTTTGTGGTACAGAAGCCACAGCACCAGGCACAAGCTGTTTAAGTAGGATTTGCTGAAAATCGGGGAGGAAGGCCAGTCACCCTTCTGAAAGGTGTCATCGCATTGCTACTAAACCCAGAAGAGTGAGCATGACGATGTCCCCCCTTGGTAAGCACTCACTGCCATGTACTATTAGAAGGGTCTGTTTGAAGGGGAACAAAGCTCTAGATAAGCCCTTGGTGGGGAAGCCAGAAAACATAAGGCAGAAAAGCTGGCCACAATCCTTCATTAAGACCGAGCAAGCCCCCCCCCCCTGCCAGGTGTGGAGCCACCTCTGGCTGGAATCAGGTGGCTGCAGAATCAGAGGCTTGGGGTGAGGGCGGGGGACCCTTTCCTGCTAAAGAGAGCCAAAGTCATTCCGAGGATTCTGAAATTACAGCATTATTAAAGCCAAGGCTTCCACTGTGACCAGATGACCCTGTCAACTCCATCTCCATCTTCCAGAGAGGCGGGAAACCCAGTGAGGGACCCATTTAGTTTCCAAGCCCCGGGCAGCACTATGATTCCGTCCTGAGGCTCCTTCCTGTGATTCCGTCCTGAGGCCTGATCCATGTGCCCTCGCAGAGCCACCCAGAGTGAAGTCCAGTGCCCACCTCCTGGTGCAACCCAGAGGTCCCCGCCCACCTGGTGCAGGTGTTGCGCTCCGTCCGGGGGCAGTGCCAGCCCCATCCTGCCCGATTCTCTCCTGGGTTCCCAGCAGCCAGCAAGTATGCAGGCCCAAGGGGGCTCCGGCTCAGGCACTTGCCTTCTCCAAGCCAGCATTACGGAGCCTTCAGAAAAGAAGGTTCCAGAAGGCAGGTCATGTCATTCCCCCCCCCAGGTTTTTTAAGGAGGGGCAAAGGGTTTAGATGTACCTCGCTCTGAGCCTGAGCTTCAGTATAAAAGCCACTCTTGGCCTCATTCCTTGCCCTCGCTGCCCTCCCCCCAAAACCTGCAGTGGCTCCCCACTGCCAACAGAGTAAAGTCTGACCCCTCGTTGGCCTGGCATTCAGAGCTCTTCACAACCTGGCCTCAGATGCCCTTCTAGAATCATCTCTCACTGTTCTCTTTTGCATGCACAAATCCTAGGAGGAGCCATGCACAGGCCTGGGAAACGGCCTAAGCCAAGGTCAGATTGTCGTGGCTCAGCCTTCGGGATCCAGGAGCAAAAGGCACGTTCCAGGCCTGAGGAGCTCGGCGTGGAGACGGGGAGACAGACGAGCAGTCCCACAGGTGCCAGCACTGGGACACCTGCCCAGACGGATCCCTGCCCCAGGTGAGTAGGGCTCACTGCTCGGTGGGCCTGGGCGGGTTCAAAGTGTCCCAGAAGAGCCCTCAAGGTGCTCCGTCCCCAGGGTGAGTGGGCATTTACCAGAGGGAAAGGGAGGAGGGTGTGCAGAGTGTGGAAGGGTCCAGAAGGTGGCTGAGCAGAGAGGACATGGGGTGAGGACAAAAGCTGAGGCCAACATGGCTGGCCGGCAGGAGACACATCCTGAGGGAAGTGTAGACCAAAGTTCTCCTCCGGCAGGGGATGGAGCTCCCTGAGGGACTTGAAACAGGGCGGGGAGTTAGGAGTTTCATGCTTCACGAACTTTCCTCTGGCAGCCAGTGGACGCAGAGGCACTGACCATTCAGAGGCTCTTCCAGAAGCCCTCACTGGGAGGATTAAAGGCAGATCTGGAAGGTCAGCAGAGCCCGTGAGGAGGGTGTGGGTCCCTGAGAGTCCCCAGGATTTGCTCACAGTCCAAGCCCCATGTCCAACCCGGGGCCAGCAGCCTCACGTGGCTCTCCAGCCTTGGACACGTGGCCGGTCCTCAGTGAGGAGCCCTGTACACGCAGCACTTCTGCTAGATTTTGAAGTATTCGTTCAAAACTCCCCTTTTTAATGTAAAATATCTCACTAATATTTTTTATATTGATTCCACGTTGAAATCATCATGTTTTTTGTACATGGGACTCAATAAGATTAAAAATGAATTTTACTTTCTTTGTTTTGAATGTTTTCAGTGTGGCTTTTTGCCACAGTCTGGCTGGGCACAAAATAACCCAGCCGCCACACAGCCTTGTAGGTTCAAAACAGGAACTCCTTTATTCTCTGCACTCCCGCGAGCACCACGCACGCACGCAGCCTTCTCCCTGGACACACCACACACCAACCGGAAATCCCTCCTCCGGAAATCTCTCCTCCTGCACTTCCCCAACCAATGGGAACTCTCCAGGAATCCCCTTGAGAACTCCAAAGTAGCGGAAGAACTCCAAAGTAACAGGCTGAGGCAGACAGCAGGGGTCTAATATACAATTGAATACACAGCTTAACATAACCATCATCATCTCAATGGCTTCCTGGCATCACCTCTCAACCACTCCGTTCTGGCAAAAATGCCATGCGTCATTCTGACTCGGCTATGGCTCTCAGCAGCTTTTAAGAGCTTTAAAATCGCATTTAAAGCCTATGTTCCGATTCTGGTGGGGAGGTGCTGGATTAGAGGGCCACAAAGCGGGGAGGGATGGAGGGTGGTTTCCGAGTCCCTGCTCAGGACACAGAGCCCTTGGGACGGGTGACGCCTGCAGTTCCTGCTACCAGATATAGACACGGCTCTGCACACCCCCAGTTACCTCCTCCCTTACGGCTGCCGGCCATCTAGAGGTGAGCATCTTGATCACCTCCACGTGGCAGAGGGGAAGCCAAGGGACGGGGGCGGGTGGCAGGCAGACACTCTGAATCCAAGATCCAGGCTCAAGTCACGATGTGTGCCCTCCACTTCTGAAAGGGCCGTGAACTCGACCTGGGAAGCAGGGCTGGACGGAGGCGGCAGAGGCAATGAGTGCATTTGGGCAGGCCTTGACCATTGAGTCCTCTGGGACATGCAAGGACACTTCTGAGAGGGACAAAGCTGGAGGCAGATCCCTGACTGCGCTGTCACTGAGCGGAACGTAAGGAGCCCAGGAGGAAGCCCAGCCAGGCCCCTCTCCACCCAGCCCACCCGTTGCTCCTTCCCGCCTCCTTCACCCTCTGACACCCCATCCCTGCCACAGGGTCCTCAGTTCATTGGTGCATTGGACAAAGATGAAGGGCCCCGACATGCCAGGCCCTTCACTGAGAGCTTTTCTGCATAGCAGCAAGAGAATCTTCTGGAAGAACAACCCTAATGAAACTCATAGAATAAAAAAGGAAAGAAGGGTTCTCTACTTCGCTAAGACCCTTGGAAAAGACCCCCCACCCCGCCCTTGGGCTTAGTGAAGAAAGACGGACCACACCGTGACGTCAGGACACTTACGTCCTGCTCACAGGGACAGGTAAGGGACATTTGCACAATCCAGGAACTGCATTTTTGAATCTCCGGTGTCCACCTCAGTATTGGAGTTTCCTCAAAGGACTAGGAATGGAACCACCGTATGACCAGCCACTCCACTCCTCAGGATTTATCCAGAAGAATTAAAGTCAGCAATTCATGCATTCACAACAGTCAAGTTGTGGGACCTGCCTGTCTGTCCTTCAAGGGACGAACGATTCAAGAAAATGCAACCTAAATCTTAGCATACCCACATCCTATGGCCCTAGACCCTAGGCACACACCAAGAGGAAGAAATGCATACAGGCACCAAGGACATGAGTGTGTGTGTGCACAATGGAGTTTCATTCATCCATAGGAAAAAAAAAAAAGAAATCATGTCATTTGCAGGAAAACGGGTGGAACCGGAGAGCATTATGTTAAGTGAAATAAGCCAGAAAGTTATTATTACGCATAATGGTAATGCACCAGTAAAATTATAGTAATATGAAAAATATGAATCCCTGGTGTCATGGATGGGACAGTTAAGGCTGGCCTCCAAGAGGAGGCACCGAGGGAGCTGAGGCTTTGCTGGTGTGGAGGAGGGAGTACGTGCTGGTCTCATGGGCGAGGACAGCCAATGCTCCCCTGGGGTTTGTTTAGGGACGCTGGTTATGGCTGGGACAGAGCAAGCGAAGGGTCCAGGTCATTCTAAGATATTGGGACCTCAAGGAGGGAACAAGCATAGGACCTGGGAGCCAGAGGGTGGGGGACGGAGGTTGCTGCAGTAGAACAGAGAGGGAGCCAGCCGCTGGACAGTGGTCCCCCAGAGGCCACTGCCCAGGGTCCAGTCAGGCTGCTCTCTGAGTGGGTGCCTGGGGGCAGGGCATGCGTCCCAGGGCCTTCACCCATGTCCTGTGACTCTTTCCCACCCCCAAGCCCTTCCTGCGCCAAGTCTGTCCCTATTTACTCTGTCAGGGTCCAGTAGGGCTTGGGAAAGGAAAGGGCCCAGTTTTTTTTGTTGTTGTTGTTTTTTTTTAATATGTGACCAGAATGAAGGAATGGCGTCTTCTAAGGACCTGCAATCTAATGCCCACCCCAACCCTCTGGTCCATTGGGTTTTCTCTCTTTGACACCTTTATCAGCTCTGGATCACCACCTCCCTCCTCTGCCCATTACTGAACCCTAGCAGTCTGCCCCCCGAGAGTCCCATGACTGGTGGCCTTGCTCCAGGTCCTCTGCTTTGACTTCAGGCAAGGAGCAGAACCAGCAAAACACAGAGCAATAGGAGACGGAGACTGTGGTGAAGACATTTCTTCCCTGCTCCCTTCCAGTTTGGGTGCCCAAGTGTCTGGGAAATAGACAGATCCTTCCATGGCTGCAGTTGCTCCAGCCCTCACTGGGCTCTAATAGCATAATCCTTATCCCACACCCCTGTAAGAGGTCCTTCACTGAAGTGTCTTCATTTGTACCTCCCAGGACCCATTCTCTTTCCTCTCAGGATCCTGACTGATGCAGACCATTAAAAAAAGATAAAATTGGAACTTCCAGGATAGTGACGTACATCTGTGCAAGTTCCAGACTGCACAAGTGGGGGGACTGCCATTCACGCTGCAGCCTATGAGGATGCAGCACCCTGGAATCACACAGCACACTCTCCACACAGCTGAACATGATGACATTGAATTTGCCCAAGGCCAACTGGTAGGTGGACTCAGCTGGGTCTTGACCCATGTCCTGTGGCTTTTGCCATAGACTAAAAGAGTCTCACTACACACATTGTGGATTGGACGCTGAGCATCGATGGAAAACCCAGAGAAATGCCAATAAACCCTGGAGTTCTGTTCACTGTGCTGCGCTGATGCTCATTTCTTGGTTTTGCTAAATATCCCACGGTTGTATACGATTTTAACACTGGGGACACATGGGCGAGGACTTTTCTGAGAACTCTCTGCACTCACTTGGTAACATTTTTGTAAATCTAAAATTATTCCAAAATTTCTTAAAGTTTATTTAAAGAGAGGGAAAAAAACCTGAAAAATTGTAACAGCCAAATACAACAGGCAGCCCTGGTTTGGATCCTGGTTTGAACAAATAATGTGAACATGTCTTTAAGACAATCGGGGGAAATTTGATTAGGGATCGGATATTAGGTGACATTAGCATCACTGCTCATGTTATTTCGTGTGCCGAGGACTGATGGCTGTGTGTTGTGAAAGCCCCTATCTGGTGGGCGGTATTTAGTGGTGAAGGGACAAGGGCGTTTATTTTTAAATTGTCCACTCTAATGAGCTCAGAAGGGAGGCTGAGAAGAAGAGAACAGAGAAAGCACTCTGTTCGGGTCTGGATATGCTCTGTCCCCCCAAAAGCGGCAGGGAGCTCTGGTCCTCAGGTTGGCCTCTGGACCTTTAAGGGATGGGGCTTAATGGGAGGTCCTTAGGCTGTTGAGGGCCTTGGAAGGGAATAAGGTACTTCTTGCAAGAGTGAGTTATTGTAAAAGCAAGTTCAACCCTTGGGTCATTCTCTTCACTTCCTGTTTTGCCATGTGACCTCTTGCTCCCACACACACTGCCACCATGATGCCATCTACCATGATGTGACACAGCCAAAGTGATGGGGCTGCCCACTCTTGAACACTCAGCAAGGGCTGGGTTGCATGTCTAATATGAGACCATAGGTTCAGTTCCCATGGTGGCCAAGAAACAAAAATACCTAGGGACTAAATTAATCTCTTTTCTTTATAAAGAAAGTAGCCTGCCTCGGTATTTTGTTATAGCAACAAAAAGCTGTTAATACACTGTGTGTTCTTTGAGAGGCCTCCTTGGGAGATGGAACCATCTGGCTACCGGCTTTCTTTGTTTCCCTTGTCAGGACTCACTACCAAGCCAGCAAGTGACATGCTTTCCCCCAAGAAGGAATTGGCACATCAAGTGGCAGTGAGGAATTGCGACCTGATGCTACACAGCCTTAGTTCAAACTCTGGATGGACTCAAACAACTAAGCCTCCATGGCTTCGTAGGCACTACCTACCTTACCTAGTGGAAGGTACTATTGTAATCATCCTTTGTTTTGTTGAGGACTTCAGATGAGGTGCTGTGTGCAAAGCACATCAGGGTGTGGCATAAGAAGGACTGGATCATGTCAGCTGGTTTCACGGTCACTAGCTCTCCTCCACATGAGGCCTCCGGGTCCCCCAACCCCTGCAGCCGGATGACCAGAGCACGGCAGGGTCTCTGGTTTCTCTGCCCTCCCTTGTTCCTAACACATCCCACATGAACGCAGGGACGGCCTCCAGTCACTTGGCCAGGACGGAGCCTTTGCGTTTTCACATGCTCCTAATTTTCAAATTAAATTCTCCTGTTTTCACGGTCTTTGTTAGAAACAATTTGATGAATCCCTTTCGCCATTTCAAAAGCCTTAGTAAAGGGATCCCTTTTCAGAGAGGAATTTGCCAAACCTCTCTGCCCTCTTCTTAGGACCGGGGCTACTGACAGATGAGATGGGATGTGGCTCTTCGGTGCCTGGTTTCCCCGGGGACAGGGGGCCTGTTCGTCCGTCCTGCGGAGCTGGGTGGACTCTCCTGTGTCCACGTAAGAGAAAGCACGCCTTTGTGTTGCGAT